CAGTGTCCTGTTCTCCTGTCCCAGTGTCCTGTTCCCCTGTCCCACTGCCCCATTCCCCTGTCCCACTGCCCTGTTCCCCTGTCCCAGTGTCCTGTCCCCCTGTCCCAGTGTCCTGTCCCCCTGTCCCAGTGTCACCGTGGGTGCTCCTGAGGCACACGGTTTGTGGCTAAACAGAGCAAAGAATGAGAATCTGAATGAAATGAAATTTCCCAGCCCTAAACCCCTCAGTCACTCTGGGGTTTGTCAGTAGAACACCCAGCCCTGGGCTCTGGGCAAGGCTTTGCTGAGTTCCCTCGTTCCGGGGTTGGAATCAGAGCTGATCCGTGTCTCCCACCCACAGGAGTTCTGCCTCTTTGCCGTGGTTGGCCTGGTGTCCGACTTCTTCCTGCAGATGTTCTTCTTCACCACCGTGCTGTCCATCGACATCCGACGGATGGAGGTGGGGAAGGGACACGGGGCCGGCCTGGGCTTCCTTCCCTGCTGTGCTGGGGGGCTGAAGGGAGCACAGCCTGGGGCTTTCACCCTTCAAATAGAAAAAAAACATAGAATCAGAGGATCATGGAATCGTTAAGGTTGGAAAAGACCTTTAAGATCATCAAGTCAAACCATCAAAACAGCACCACCACCATGGTCACCACCGTGTCCCCAGTGCCACATCCACGTGGCTTGTAAATCCCCCCAGGGATGGGGACCCCAGGCTGTGCCAGGGCTGGACAGCCCTTTCCAGGGAGAAATTTTCCCAATAGCTCATCTAAACCTCCCCTGGCACAACTTGAGGCCGTGTCCTCTGGTCCTGAGGGCCTGAGCTGTTCAAGTCCCTGTGCTTGCCCAGTTACACACCCAGGGATGGGGACAGGACACCTGAGGGAATGAGGCACCCTCAGGAAGGACATGGAGCTGTTGGAGCGAGTCCAGAGGAGGCACCAAGGGGATCAGAGGGCTGGAGCAGCTCTGCTGGGAGGAAAGGCTGGGAGAGCTGGGATTGTTCAGCCTGGAGAGGAGAAGCTTTGAGGTGACCTGATTGTGGCCTTGCAGGACATGGAGGAACCGACAGGAAAGATGGAGAGAGGCTATTATCAAGGGCCTGGAGGAACAGGACAAGGGGGAATGGCTTCAAACTGACAGAGAAAAGGGTTAGATGGGATATTGAGAAGGAATTCTTCCCTGTGAGACTGGTGAGGCCCTGTCCCAGGTTGCCCAGAGAAGCTGTGGCTGCCCCTGGATCCCTGGAAGTGTCCAAGGCCAGGCTGGAGCAACCTGGGACAGTGGGAGGTGTCCCTGCCCATGGCAGGGGGCGGCACTGGATGGGCTTTGAAAGGTCCCTTTCCCACCCAAACCATCCCATGATTCCATGATTCTCAGTGGGTGTGCTGGTTTGGGGCAAACGGGCTGGAAGGAGCCGCGGTCACACCGCGGCCACGGCTTTGGGGGGGGAGAATCTGTGCCGGGACATTTCCCTCAGGGACCTCCCCGGAGGTTCCCTCCCCTCACCGTTCCCTCCCTCTCTCCCCAGCTGGCCGACCTGAACCGGCGGGTGCCCCCGGAGTCCATCCTGCCCCCGGGGAAGCCGCCGTGCCGCCCCCGGGCCCCCCCAGCGCGGGCGGTGAGCGCGGGCAGCCCTCACACCATCACCCTGCAGCCCTC